TTTAATAAGCCCTGCTTTTTATAAATTGAGTTGTTTCATTTCTTTGTATCTTGTATACAGATAATTTATCCCAGCGATATCAAGGAACAGTTGCCAAAACACTAATTGCAACTATAATCATAAGGACTATAGAAATCTACACCAAACTCATCTCCTATTTGTAAAACAAGTGTAACCATTGAAGAAATACATAACAATGCTATGCAACAATCAGATTTTAAACTTGAACAAAAACCCATTCCCATACAAAGGCTTACACTGGTGAGACACCAGATAGCGATAGTCTGGTAGGAATCCCTGTGAGGTGAGAAGTAAATGAACTAATCTGATCTGAAGTACAATAAATTATTTCAACTAGTCCCTCGATGTTCTAGCAATTTGCAAAACAGCACCTGCCAAATAGAACTGTAAGACGCCCTATGCTGTATTCTGTGACACTGTGGGACCATCAGAAGTAATTACAAATCACTGCACATACATCCTGATAGCTCGTATTTCCAAAAGGAATACTCAAGTCAATTCATGTGGCTCCACCTCTTAAATTAACTCATATTCCCCTCTCTCTTATATCCCTCCTTTCCACTCAGTTAATTTTTATTAATACGATGATTTTCATTAACCTTCCTTGCCTAGCCTCATTACACCATGTCTTAAACCAACTCATGTGTTCTGGAGACTTTATAAGTATGAAACTCCTGACCTTGCTTATGGGCCTGTCTTTTACCGGCTAAAGAACAAGATCTAACTTTTACCTCTGACATTAATTTTCCTCTCTCCTTAGACAGTGTCCTCACTGTGAACCCTGCACCTTCACCTTGGCAGATGCCACTAGACTGGGGGGATTAGGTGGGGGTTAATCAATTCTGAGGAGCCCTGCAACAAATTAAAAGAGGATATTAATAAACTTGGAAAATAGGCAAATGAATGTTCAACATTGACCAATGTGAGGTTATGCATTTTGTTTAGAAGAAAAGGTCACTTATTATTTGGAAAGTGCAAGTGTAGTTGAGGTTCAGGAACATAGATATTTCCATGACCAAAAACACCAATCAATAAAAGTTGCAAATTAGCAAGGCCACTTAAATGTAAAGCAAGCGCTGGGCTTTATTTCTAGACGGATAGATTTGAGGAGTATAAAAGTGAAGCTTAACTTATATCAAGCCTTGCTAGACCACACTTGGAGTACTATGAGCAGTTGTGGTCATCAGATATGGTCATTGGAGAGGGTGCAATGAAGATTTATGAGATTGATACTCGAAGCTAGCAAAGAAATAGATACTGGAATGGCCACATACCAGTGGCGAATGGCAGGCTGGGTCTCGTTTTTTCCCTTGAGATTAAAAGTCTAAGTGGTGACTCAATTAAGATCTTTAAAATGTTGAAATACTTTGATGAAAATACTTATAGACAGAAGTTTTCCACTTGTAGAGAACAGCATAACTGCAGGCCATCAAGATAAGACAATCAAATAGAATCATAGAACCCCTATAGTGTGGAAGCAGGCCATTCTGCCCATCAAGTCCATACTGACCCTCTGAAGAACATCCCACTCAGTCTCACCCTTCTACCCTAAACCTGCATTTCTCATGGCTTATCCACCTAACCTGTACATCTTTGGAATGTGAGAGGAAACCCACATAGACATGGGGAGAATGTGCAAACAGTCACCCAAGGCTAGAATTGAACCCAGGACCCTGGTGCTGTGAAGTACCCATGCTAACACTGAGCCACCATGCCACCCTTTTCTTTTCTTAAAAAAAACGTTCAGAAGAACATTCTTTGTCCAAGTGTGAAAATGTGGAACTTAGAACCACAGCGAATGAATATGCACTTTAGAAGAAACTAGACAAGTGTTGGAGTAAGAAGGGAATAAATTGTTATGATGATGGATTTAAGTGACAATATATAGGACAAGGCCCGAATGGAACATAAACACTAGCATGGACTGGTTGGGATGGATGGCCTGTTTCTGTGCCGTTTCTCCTAAAGAAAAAGTAGACTGAAAAATAAAGACACATTGACATTTCATATTGTTTTTTAATCAATTTCTCACTTCTCTTTAAGACCTATAATGACATTCATGAGCCTTCCTTAAGAACTTTGTTCAAGTTTAGTATTCATTGCTTGTTGCCTCTTTACAGCAAACCAGTGGATCAGATGGAACATTGTTTTTTTCATGTTGCCTACCACTGGTCTTCATTGGCTTCATTGGAAAGTAAAGTCTGGTGGGGTGTGCAAAATCAGTTCTGCATTTAACCCCATTAGTTTCCTAATGGAAGCATTAGATTACAATTGTACCCCATTGATTCTCCATGTTAAATCTGATCAATTTGAAACGCAGCTGCAAACGTACACAGCAGCACCAGCTGTTTCTAAGACACATTAATAGTTGGACCCTCTCATTCCAACCCTTTGCAATACAATTCCCATTAATAAACACAATTCAGAAAGGTTAATGCTCAGAGTAAACAGCAAGTCAATAAATTGCCATTGTGTCACTGATTGAATGCCAAATATAAACCCTGCCTCTTGAAGGGCTCTTGTTGTGCATTGGTAGTGTTCCTATCTCTGAGCCAAGAGACCTGGGCTCCAGTCCAAAGCACACCTGCTTTGGAGGTATGTAATAACATCACTGAGCAGGTTGTATTGAAAATATCTAAGTTCTCCCCTTGCTCGCTTAAAAGAGGTAACTGGAGTAGCCATGAAGCTTCTTTAGCCCACTTGGATGCCAAAAACTTGTACAATTTCATGTCCTAGTGTAAAAATGTTGAACTGCTCACAATTGTTTATGTAGTTCTTTTGTATGTTCTGATATGGGGTCAGAGTAAGAATGTCTCTAGGTATCAGGAAGTGATATCAGTCCTACAGTTAAATCCAAGAATAGACTCAGCGTAGAGTGAACAGTCTGCATGTTAGAGGAGGCAACTTGCATTTGCCTGCTGCCTCATTCAAGTCTGTAAGCAGTTTGACAGGTAGACAAAATTTTGCTTTAAAATCTATTGCGTATGGGCTGCTGAAGGCTCACTAATCTCAGATTTTGAGCAGATCTTAAAATGGGCATTCAATATGCCCACTGAAACTTATGACAATATTTCAATTAAAGCAGCCTGCTTGATTGGCACCACATCCACAAACATCTACTCTCTCCACCACTGATGCTCAGTAGCAGCAGTGTGTACCATCTGCAAGATGCACTGCAGAAATTAAACAAAGTTCTTTGGACAGCACATTCCAAACCCATGACCACTTCAATCTAGAAGGGTAAGGGCAGATACATGGGAACACCACCCTCTGCAAGTTCCCCTCCAAGTCAATCACAGTCTTGACTTGGAAACAAAGTTCAGTCCCTGTCACTGGGTCAAAATCCTGGAGCTCCCTCCTTGATGGCGTCGTTAGTCCAACATACCGAATAGACTGTGAAGTTCAAGAAAGCAGATCACCACCTGCTTCTCATAGGCAACTGGGGATGTGCAATTGAATGTTGCTCCAGCCAGCGACATCTACATCCCACAAGTGAACTATAAAACACAAAGTCCTATGCTGGTTGCAGGACCTGAAGCAATATTCAGCTACCAATAGTCTAAAAATAGTTTCTCCCCAAAATCTTTCCATTTGGAGCAAACCGGTTCCTCGTTGGGAGAACTGCTTTCTCCTTTGAGGCTTAACGTCTAGTTTGCATTTGCAGGGAAACAGCTGGATTTCCCAATCTGCCACTGCATAACCTGCCTTCCTGCCTGCCCTTCTCACTCTATCCATTTCCCTCTCTCCCCTGAATGGTCTATTCTTCAGCACAGGCCCTGGACTGTTCAGATGAGAATCTGACCTTTCAAGTGGCTCGGTGCTCTTGAAGTGGCACTGGTCATCGTTGCATCTACCACCCACTCAGTGTGTTGCCTGTGAATATCGCACCCAGTGTCGTTAATCTAGCAGTGACTTACTGAAGGCTGAATATGAAATGCAGATCATAATAAGTCCCATTGTTGTTTTGATTATTTGGTGGTGGATTGGGAATTGAAACCAGCGAACTTAGGAAAACGACATCAATGCATGACTCAACGACGATATGAACAATTTAGATGTTTTTAAACAACACAGCAGATATTATTTTGTGAAAAGAAGTAACATTTGGCAGACTGTGGATGTAAAGCAGTGCTTTCATTTCCATGACCTAGATTTCTCTGCTCAAAGTAAATGGGCAGGACAACCTTTGCAGTGGTCATTCTGCACAGCGTCTTTTCATATTTGCATCAATTCCTGTTAGATAACATCCGCAAAATTGGATATTTTAATTATCTACTGAAGAAGCGAGGAGAGAAAAAATTAAAGAACAAGGGAAGGTCTATTAAACCAATTTTTTTTTTATAATTAAGCCTCAACTGACCAGTCTCTACTGTTTTTACAAGAAAATTAATCTGGTTAAACTCACAGTGTAACAACAAAACCAATTGATCAATAGAAACTTGCAGAAATGGAGCAGAAACTTATCAAAATTAAATAAGGTAATGTTACCTGGGGTGAAGATACTCTCCAGCCCCTGTGAAGCCCACAGTCTTTACCTGGCAACTCTGTCCAACACTATTCTTAATTCTTTTCTTAGATGACGAAACAAATGGCTTGGAAACTCCGACAGCCCGTGAGCTGTTGGAACAGTATAGACTGAAGTTGCTCTTTGAGTCCATGTGGAACCTAGTTCCATGACCGTACCTGCTGGCTTGAATCCCCATTACTCAACACCTTGAACTGTCACACCTGATACACAGCCACGTCTTCATAAGAACATAAGAACTAGGAGCAGGAGTACGCCATCTGGCCCCTCGAGCCTGCCCTGCCATTTAATAAGATCACTTACCCACCCACACACCATAACCCATAATTCCTTTAATGTTCAAAAATTTATCTAGCCTTGCCTTAAAAACATTCAGCGAGGTAGCTTCAACTGCTTCACTGGGCAGGGAACTCCACAGATTCACAACCCTTTGGGTGAAGAAGTTCCTCCTGACCTCAGTCCTATATCTGCTTCCCTTTATTTTGAGGTGATGCCGTCTAGTCCTAGTTTCACCTGCTAGCAGAAACAACCTCCCTGCCTCCACCTTATCTATTCCCTTCATAATCTTATATGTTTGTATAAGATCTCCCCTCATTCTTCTGAATTCCAATGAGTATAATCCCAGTCTACTCAGTCTCTCCTCAAAATCCAACCCTCTCAACTCTGGAATCAACCGAGTGAATCTCCTCTGCACCCCCTCCAGTGCTAGTATATCTCTTCTCAAGTAAGGAGACCAAAACTGCACACAGTACTCCAGGTGTGGCCTTACCAGGACCCTATACAGCTGCAGCATAGCGTCCCCTGTTTTTAAACTCCATCCCTTTAGCAATGACAGACAAAATTCCATTTGCCTTTTTAATTACCTGCTGCACCTGCAATCCTAATTTTAGCGATTCATGCACAAGGACACCCAAGTCCCTTTGCACAGCAGCGTGCTGCAATTTTTACCATTTAAAACATAGTCTATCTTGCTGTTATTCCTACCAAAATGGATGACCTCACACTTATCAACATTATACTCCATCTGCCAGACCTTTGCCCACTCACTTAGACTATCTATATCCCTCGGCAGACTTTCAGTGTCTTCTGCACACTTTGCTCTACCACTCACATTAGTGTCATCTGCAAATTTTGACACATCACACTTAGTCCCCAACTCCAAATCATCTATGTAAATTGTAAACAATTGCGGTCCCAACACTGATCCCTGAGGCACACCACTAGCCACTGACCGCCAACCAGAAAAACACCCATTTACCCCTACTCTTTGCTTTCTACTCGTCAACCAATCCTCTATCCACGCCAATACATTACCTGTAATACCGTGCAACTTTATCTTATGTAGCAGCCTTTGATGTGGCACCTTGTCAAATGCCTTCTGAAAATCCAGATACACCACATCCACAGGTTACCCAATGTCCACCATGCAAGTAATGTCCTCAAAGAATTCCACCAAATTAGTTAAACATGACCTACCCTTCATGAACCCATGCTGGGTGTTCCCAATGGGAGAATTTATATCCAGATGTCTTGCTATTTCTTCCTTAATGATAGATTCAAGCATTTTCCCCACTACTGAAGTTAACCTAACTGGCCTATAGTTACCTGCTTTTTGTCTACTTCCTTTTTTAAACAGTGGCATCACATTGGCTGTTTTCCAATCTGCGGGAACCACCCCAGAGTCCAGTGAATTTTGGTAAATAATTACTAGTGCATTTGCTATTTCCCCCATCACCTCTTTTAGTACCCTGGGATGCATTTCATCAGGGCCAGGAGACTTGTCTACCTTTAGCCCCATTAGCTTGCCCAGCACTGTCTCCTGAGTGATAATGATAGTTTCTAGGTCCTCACCTGCTATAACCTTCTTGCCATTAGTTTTCGGCATGTTATTTGTGTCTTCCACAGTGAAGACCGACACGAAATAACTGTTTAATCTTTCGGCTATTTCCTCATTCCCAGTTATTAAATTGGCCTTCTCATCCTCTAAAGGACCAATATTTACCTTCGCCACTCTTTTACGATTTACATATTTATAGAAACTTTTGCTGCCTGTTTTTATATTCTGAGCTAGTTTACTCTCATAATCTATCTTACTTTTCTTTATAACTTTTCTGTTGGCCTGATACTTTCTGGTACTTTCTGATACTTTCCTTCATTTCCTTAGACATCCATGGTTGGCTCTCTCTTTTCCTACAGTTCTTCCTTATCACTGGAATATACTTCTGCTGAGCACTGTGAAAAATCGTTTTGAAAGTCCTCCACTGTTCCTCAATTGACCCACCATAAAGTTTTTGCTCCCATTCTACCTTAGCTAACTCCTTCCTCATTCCTTCATAGTCTCCTTTGTTTAAGCACAGGACATAGGTACTGGATTTAACTTTCTCACGCTCCATCTGTATCTTAAATTTGACCATACTGTGATCGCTCCTTCCGAGAGGATCCCTAACTGTGAGATCATTAATTTTTCCTGTCTCATTACACAGGACTAGATCTAGGGTAGCTTGCTCCCTCATAGGTTCCATTACATTTTGTTCAAGGAAATTATCGCGGATGCCATATTGTCCAAGGAAATTATCACGGATGCGATTCAACCTACCCTGAGCATCCATTCACTTACATGGCACCTCACCCACCTGACACAATACCAAGCTCACCCACATGCAAATACACCCTCACCCACCTGACACACCATCCTCCAGCCCAGCAGGCACCCTAATCCCACAATCAACTGCCCCTCTAATCACACACTTGCCTCACATAACTCACCATCTTCATGACAACTGTCTGGCCAGTTGCTAAATCTCTGAGCGTGGCTTACCGACTGCTGCAAAGCAGACGCATAATTTCCATACTGATTCTCTCCGCTGCTGAATTTGTGGATTCCTGGACAGGTTCGTAACAACAGGTCCCCATCCAGGAATCGCCAGCACAGAAGCTGTTCAAAAGGCAAGTGGGTAATTTTTAACCTGATCAGGATCAGGAATCCTATTTCCTAACCCTGATCAGAATATCAGTGTGCCAATATATCTTATTTCGTCCCAAATCCACCGACAACGATGAGAGAGAATGGTTAAACTGATCTAGCAAAATTCATGATTATATTAAATAAAATCAAAAATCAAATGAGATGTACGCTTTACAAATGAACATGTGATCATGAGCAGTAATCAGGTAGAGCCTGGTATTTGTTGCCAATAACTCAGTCTTTCCTCACTGGTAGCACTCGAACCTTGGGTGAATTTCAGTTCCACTCAAAAGATCTGATTGTACCATCCAGTCTAGCAGTGGACTGCCTACCTTGTTACATCCTTTGAACAAGGTCCCTTGACAGACCTTTGCCCAATTTTAAAAGAAGACTTGTATGTGGTATGGACAAAGAACCAGAAGCAAGGTGGCTGTCTGCACTTGTATCTGGAGAACTGCCAGTGCAGAAATATGACAATGTAGATTTGCCTAGAAATGAGAAGGGAACGGTAGGTTTACAGCTGGTTAAGGAAAGTCAAGAAAGGAAAACTCACTGCAGCTTAATTTTGATGACTTTCTGAAGAATCTATGATCCTAAACTTTTTTGACAGCTATAGAGAACAATCCGTTCATTAAATATCACCGTGCAATTTTTTTCACTCTGCATCTGGAATCAATGGAATTAAAATTTAATGACATCTCTCTGTGCCTTAATTCATAACCTGTGGATTTTTTTTAACTGCAATATTACCTGGTCTTGTTTTCCGAACATCAATCGGTTACAGAACCCCAGACTCCAGCCCTCAGCCATTGGAATCCAGCCCTAGCTCCACCATCAGCCTAAGCCTCTCTGCTCCTATGATGCTGCTTGGCCTGCTGTGTTCATCCAGCCCTGCACCTTGTTGTCTCGGATTCTCCAGCATCTGCAGTTCCTACTATCTCTGTTTTTTTGTTGTTGTGTTTCACTACTTTTCCGTTTTAAAGATAGTTAAGCTGGTTGAATGCCAACTCTTGGGTGTTGTTCATCCCTGGACCTCTGACAATGGACTTTAAAAGTGTAGGCAGCAAAACCCCCACCCACCGAACCACAGCCATCCCATTGTGGCTTGATGACAAAGCCAGGGTTTGTGTGGCAGCAATAAGGACAGCAAATTATTGAGCCAGCTCTAGGATTATCCAGTACAAGCATAATGGGCTGAATAGTCTCGTTCTGCTCCATAATCCTTCTGTGATTAACTGTCTTTGATGTGGGCTCTTTTTATCCCCTTTTGTTTTTATCATGGGATGTGGTCATCGCTGGCAAGGCCAACATTTTCTGCCCATCTCTAACTGTCCTGGAACTGAATGGCCGATTTCAGAGTCAAGAAGTGTGAATCTGGAAAAGCACAGCAGGTCAGACAGCATCAGGGGAGCAGGTAAATCAAAAGGGTTTTGACCCAAAATGTTGACTTTCCTGCCTATAGACTCTGGCTTCCAGCATCTGCAGTCTTTATTGTCTCTGGTCCATTTCAGAGGGCAGTTAAGAGTCAACTGTGTTACTAAGGGTTTGGAGTCACATCTAGGTCAGACTAGGGAAGCATGGCAGACTTCCTTTCCTGAAGGACATTAGTGAATCAGATGGATTATGTGGTCACCATTAGACTAGCCCTTTATTCCACATTTTTTTTGGGAAATAGGATTCAAATTTCACCATCTGCTGGGGTGGGATTCAAACTCCTGACCCCAGAACTCCAGCCAGGGCTTCTGAATCACTTGTGCAATGACTCCCCCACTACACCACCACCGCCGCCTTTGTGAACAGAAATCTCTTCAATTTGGCAAGGTTTTAGCACTTGAGGGAGTTTTTTTTTTCAAGTTTTGAAAAGGTTTACATGACTGGGAGTTTAAAAAAAATTGCTGGCTATAATAAATTTTTAGACTTAGCGTTAAAGAGTCATACAGAACAGAAACAAAACCTTTGGTCCAACTTGTCCATACCGTCCACAGTTCCTAAACTGAACTAGTCCCATTTGTTTGTATTTATCCAAAACCCTTTAAAACCCTTCCTAATCATGTGCCAGTCCAAATACCTTTTAAGTGTTGTAATTGTATCAGCCTTTACCACTTCCTCTGGCAGCTCATTCCATACACGACCCTCTGTGTGAAAAAGTAGCCCCTCATGTCCCTTTTAAATCTTTCCCATCTCACTTTAGTTTGCTCAGAGTCATAGCGACATACAGCATGGAAACAGACCCTTTGGTTCAACCAGACTATGCTGACCATACTCACAAACTAAACTAGTCCCACCTGCCTGTGTTTTACCTATATCCCCCCAAATACTACTTATTCATGTACTTAGGGTCTTTTAAAAGTTGTAAATGTACCTGCATCTACCACTTCCCCTGGCCGTTCATTCCACACACGAACCACTCGCTGTATAAAAAAAATGCCCCTCTTTCTCTCACCTTAAAATGTGCCCCTTGTCTTGAAGTCCCCTACCCTAGGGAAAAGCCACCCGCCAATC